CGCTCCTGCAGTCGCGTCTTCTCTCTTACACGCTCCTACAGTCACGTCTTTGCGTACATGCTCCTGCAGTCGCGTCTTCTCTCTTACACGCTCCTACAGTCGTGTCTTCTCTCTTACACGCTCCTACAGTCGCGTCTTCTCTCTTACACGCTCCTACAGTCGAGTCTTCTCTCTTACACGCTCCTACAGTCACGTCTTTGCGTACGTGCTCCTGCAGTCGTGTCTTCACTCTTACACGCTCCTACAGTCGCCTCTTCATGTACGTGCTCCTGTAATCATGTCTTCACTTAGCATGCTCTTACAGTCATCTTCACTTAACGTGCATACTCCCATTTCACAACCTGTATACACACGGATGTGTGCAGGTATGTAGGAATATTTGCAGTTACAACATTTATGTTGCATCCACAGCACCCCTTTGTCTAGATTCACAGTGATGTGTTTAGGAGTCCCCTGTGGGGAGACTCCAGTTTTTACATGAACAACACTGATTGCTGGCCCTGTGCAGCCTCTCTGTGCTCTTGGGTGATTACACATGTTGTCTTTCCTTTTGAAACATCCTTGTCACGATGTCTATGCAGTTTTGGTTCAAATATTCATATGCTTACGTATTGTCTCAGTTATCTAGTGCTGCTATAACAGAAATGCCACAAGTGGATGGCTTAAAGAGAAATTTATTCTTTCACAGTCTAGGAGGCTATTAGTCTGAATTTAGGGTGCCAGCTCCAGGGGAAGACTTTCTCTCTCTCTGTCAGCTCTCGGGGAAGGTCCTTGTCATCAGTCTTTCCCTGATCTAGGAGCTTCTCAGTGCAGGGACCCTGGGTCCAAAGGATGTGCTCCATTTTTGTCTCTGCTTTTTTGGTGACATGAGGCCCCTCTCCTCTCTGATTGTTTTTCTCTTTTATATCCCAAAAGAAATAGACTCTAGATACAACCTAATCTTGTAGATTCAGTCCTGCCTCATTAATATAACTCCTCTGGTTCTGCCTCATTAACATCATAGAGGTTAGGATTTACACCGCAGAGGATAATCACATCAGATCACAAAATGGAGGACAACCACACAATACTGGGAATCATGGCATGGCCAATTTGATACACATTTTTGGGGCACACAATTCAATCCATAACAGGTATTAAGAAAATGATTTTTTTTTTGATAGTAAAATACCTGTGTCTCCCCACTTACTCACCTTCCTCCTTGTTGTCTCCTCCCCATCCTGTCTGCTCTCCCTGAGCCACCCGCTTTTCTGAAACCAAAGTGGATTTTCTCACGCCCACCTTTGTGTGTGTCTTGTTTCCTGTTTACTTTCTTGTTTCCCATCTTCTTTCTTTCCTAACAAGAAATAATGTACAATAAATAAAACTATTTTTTTTCTTCGGTTGATTCTGATTTTATATTTTACCTAATTTAAAAAACAGACTCAAACTTTCTATTTCTCACGAAATGCCTTATTTTCTCTGGATTGGTGGGCTTCAACAGGGAGGACTCGTTTACAGCCCTGCGTTCAGTGACCGGAGTCGCTATGCCTCCGTCTTTTCTTTGTCACTGCTTCTTCTCTTAGGAGAGCTCGTCTCCTGGTTATGTACTTCGTGCCCTGCTCGGTCCTTGGTGTGCTGCGCACGTAATGATTGCTCCATCACGGCAGGCAGCCTGGTTCAGTGCGTCGTGCCGCCCCCTTGCTCAGATCAGGAGGAGAGGGTGGAAACCAGACCCGCCGGAGCAGAGGCAGCCTGGGCGCGGAGCAGCAGGCGCTCGCTCCCTCTGTTAGGAGGCCTTGTCTCTTGCAGGCTGGGCACCACCACACATGACAGTCGCAACGAGGACACGTACAGCACCTTACTGCAGCGCTACCACCACTCGGAGGAGGAGCTGCGCCGCGTGGCTGAGGACTGGCTGGAGTGCCAGAGGAGGATCGATGACTACGTGGACGAGCAGGTGAGCCGGGTGGTGGGGCTGTGCCCCAGGGGCTCACTGTCCCGGGGCGGGGGTGAGGTGAACGCGCGGGGCGGTGGCAGCAGCTAGTCAGGTGCTGTCTGGCTGGGTCTCCGCAGGCTCCTTGGCACAGGCCGCGGCCCAGGCTGGATGCCCTCGCAGAGCCTGCCTTTCCCCCCTCCTTCCTGACCCTCCCTGTGCAGAAGGGGGGTGAGGACATGAGCTACCACCCAGCAGGGGCTGAGGAGGGATTGAGGGGACAGAGGAGGGAGGGGGATGGCGGGAGATGGGCTCTGCGCAGGGGCAGCCACGCCAAGCAGGGGCCTGAAGAGGGGGTGGGAGGGCGTCCCTCGCTGCCTGCCCTGCTGGCTGCCACCTTCCTCACACCTCTGCCCATGTCGGGCGAGAACACATCAGGTGCGGCCTCCTTTAACGGTGGCAGTGTGAGGGACAGCCAAGGGGGAGTGACAGAGCTCCGCATTACCCTCTGGATGACGTTTGTAGGGGAGAGAACTCCAGTCCTGACCCACACCGTGCAGGTCCTGGGTCCACCTGGGATTGTTGGTGCCCTTGGATACTGGCGTGACCCCTCATAGCGCTCCCCACCTGGGCCTATGGAGGTGCTGGGGAAGGGGGTTCCCCTCACAGCACTGCCCGCCTGGGCCTGTGGAGGTGCTGGGGAGGGGGGTTCCCCTCACAGCACCGCCCGCCTGGGCCTGTGGAGGTGCTGGGGAGGGGGGCTT